TGTTCAGTTTGGTTTTCACTTGAGACTGTGAGACTGAAATTTTATGCCGTCGAAATGGGTGACTGCAAATCATGATTTGAATTTCATGAGATATTGGAGGATGTGAGTGCTTTAATTTGAAGCAGTCGTACTCGTTTGACCAGTGCCCCGAGTTGATTTATTGCTCTAGAAAAACGATTTGGCAACATTCGTCCTTAGACAGTTTACTGAGAAGTAATCTATTGCTGCTGAGCAAAGAATTTCCACAATACTCTGCGTTAGGTGTGTAAGCGTTCTTTGTAAAAGTGCGCGAAACAATTATCCCAGCGAGAACAGAAGCATGTCGTCAGTTGTGTTTTCTAGCATATCATGTCAACTCGCCACACTGGTCACTCAAGGATGACAGCTTTTAATTAACGTATGGACGTCTTGTAATATCTCATAAATCTAATACCCGATTTTCAATTCCCCAGTTAGAGTTCCATAATCGGTTAATTTTATTATGATGAATTCTCACGGTGTTATGCAGTATCATATCACCTCAATATGAATATGATAAATACGCTGTGCTCGGAAAATCGCCATCGGTAAATATCACTGTATAACCCTGTGAGATTATTTCGGAGTGAATTTTACCCCAAATAGAATAATACTCTATCACAGTGCACAATGTTTGTTCTTGCACCCAGTTCGACGGTGTAAGTGATAAATTTCATAGCCTCACTTGAATAAAGGGAATATTTTAACCACTATGCAGGTTATATTTCTTAGCAACGACAATAGTAAGGAGAAGCAATTGGAATTATGGACTTGATTTAAACATAACCCTGAATCGAACTGAAACCACTAACGAGATCATGAGATTTCCAGTCACTATTGATTTTTAATCACGTCTATTTTCCCATGCTGGCATACTTGAAACTATGCGTATGATCCAGTGTTTTGTATTTCCAGCCGACTTACTTCCACACCTCACCTATTTCCATTGTCGTTATCCACCTGTGAACCGGACAGTGATGCGTTTCACCGTGACCCTATTAAACTAACAACACTATCGGAATTCGAATATTTATCCCTGCGTGATCTACTCAGAATGTATAGGGATTAGAGAAATTCCTTTCCATGAAATAGGTTTCTCAGCTGGTTATATAGTGGAATTCTGCGTATTCTCTTGATCTTTTGTCACTCTGAGTAATGCTTACCAGTCTCCATGACATACGTAATCAATCTGCCTTGTTCAAACACTCATTCACTTTCCGAACTCTACTCGTGGCTGAAAATGTAATTTGATGTATTATCTTGAGTGATTTGTTGTCGAATGATGTTGGCTTGCATCTTGGTGAGTTCACACCATCCTACATTCTTTGTAGACGTCTACAGCGGATATCGACCTGGACCTCGAAATTTTTAACCTGTGAATGCTTTTGTGACACAAATTCTTCCATCGACGTTCAACTCGTACTGATTTACAGCCTTCGCAACGCTATTTCTCGCAGCGGATTTTATCTTTTGTCATTTTTATCATTGAAAGAAGGTGAAAGTATCGCTCTATATAACCAGTATAACATCACGTTAACAATTATTTTGTTAAATTTCCAATGTAAGTACATTGAAAACCTTTTATTATGATGCATATCATACCCTGAATGCCCAAGCTTATTTTTCAGCCGTTAAAAGTGAACTTGGTTTGGACTTTATCGAGGCATAAATGTAACTTCTATAATGATCGCATCTCCAACGCATGTTGTCTACAGAATGGAATGATTCCATTGTCCCTGTCAGTGAATCCTCTTGAATATTCGCTGATATCACTATTCGCTGCAGATGAAACCTGCACACTGTTTTCAGGAGAAAGAATACATAGCTACAACATCAAACTTCAATGTAGTCGAGCGAGCGAGAATTTAAGATGTAGACGTCTATTCAAGAATACTTGTTACTTGTTACAAAACTCAGAATGTTTTAAATGAACGTGAATCAGATTTTCATAGGCGTTACCAAAAGTAGACAAATACCGAATTACATGAAATTTGATGTAAAGAAACAACCGAAGTAAATCTCATTTAATGATATGAAGTAGATAAGAACCATACACTCATCGTGTCAGACAAGATACTAACCGAAAATGAAATCTATTTACCGGAGGAAGGTTTGAAGGTTTCAGTGTTACTGAAAAGCCATTATCGGTCGAGGAAATAGCACCTATGATCGAACCTGCACTAGAAGTGATCACCGTTGAATAAATGCAATCTGTACGTCAAAATATATCACGTATAATTATGACGCAACTAAACATATCATCTAATCTCACCAAACAAGAATATGTGTCGCTGAGATATTTGAAGAAATAGAGAAGCACTGTTCTATCTATATTTGACAGGAAGACGTCAGTGTAATTATGAACAGGATTGATAATGAAAAGAAGGTGATTGTGCATCTAACCGACGGACCTTACTTACTCACCGACAAGCGACCTTCCCGAATACTTATCTTTCTTAATGCACCTACTGCAGAGGACAATCATAATGTTGTAGAAGATACATATGATTCTCATTTGACTGCATAGCTTCGGTTATTCTATCTGATCGCATAGAGCTTAGCAATGCAAAGAAGATGATAACGCATTGCCTTCGACAGGTTTTTCTTCACTTTGTAGATGACTTCGTACGAGGGCCTTGTTCAGGCGGTGTGACCAGTTTTGACCCGTTGTGATTATTATTCATGGAGGAAGTGTGTGGACGCATAGACATAATGCCGTCTATATTGTTATTAGTATGGATTTCAATGTATAGGATTTGGATTTTCGCGATTGTTTTCATGTTAAGTGTAGATATCGTCACGAACCGACAATAGTAGATATTACTAACTCACCGACAAACAACCTCTCCAAATGCTTACCCTTTTTAATGCACCTACTGCAGAGGACAATCATAATGTTGTAGAAGATACATATGATTCTCATTTGACTGCATAGCTTCGGTTATTCTATCTGATCGCATAGAGCTTAGCAATGCAAAGAAGATGATAACGCATTGCCTTCGACAGGTTTTTCTTCACTTTGTAGATGACTTCGTACGAGGGCCTTGTTCAGGCGGTGTGACCAGTTTTGACCCGTTGTGATTATTATTCATGGAGGAAGTGTGTGGACGCATAGACATAATGCCGTCTATATTGTTATTAGTATGGATTTCAATGTATAGGATTTGGATTTTCGCGATTGTTTTCATGTTAAGTGTAGATATCGTCACGAACCGACAATAGTAGATATTACTAACTCACCGACAAACAACCTCTCCAAATACTTATCTTTTTAATGCACCTACTGCAGAGGATACTCATAATGTTGTAGAACGTACGTATGATTTCAAATCTCCAACAGAACACCAAGAAGTTGATAAAGAAGATATTATGGTGAGCTATCATTCTAACTCATTACATACTAGTATTCCCAACTGCAGAAAGTCTCGATATCCTTCACAATCTACTAGAATCAAGTACAGCGCTATCACAAAGATGTCCACCGGACACCAGTGAAACAGTTAACAGCTTGAAATTCTGTCTAGAATATAATTATTCTACATTTAAAGGGAATTCATTTAGACAGACAAATGGTGTTTCTATATGTTAACCAGTTTACACAATAATCGCTGACCTTTTCATAAATACATCCTAAGATTACATCTTTTCAAACATACTCACTCATAATATGTGCTTAAGATATGCATATGATAGTTTTCTAGTGCTATAATGAGGTCTACACAGCTGATTCTTGGAGAAACTAAACCATCCATCACCCAGAACCTCGTTTGCTTCAGAAGTAGAATCAGCCACCGGTGAACTACCATTTCTAGACTATCTGACTATTCAACGCTGACATTATGTGTGGTCGAAAACGTCATCCGATAACAAGGGCCTCAGCAGGTATCATTCCATATAGAGTAGAGACGTGAGACAATATCAGAAGAGTACTCAATAACTTCAAAGCATCAGACATTCTGCAATGCAACCTTTTCCAAACAAAAGACCAAATCCCTGAGGATTCTCTGTCTAATTATATCTATGGAATCTAATGGTTAAAATATGTTGCGGTATATATTGGACAAACATCTCCAGAGAGAAATCAAAATCAGAGAAACTGAGCACCGTAGAGCATATATATTCGACCACCGAGAAATCCAGTTAGAGAACTGGAAAAGCTTGGAAAATCATCAGCCATAGGTGGTGGTCTACTCGCTTTAGAATCAGGCCACAAAATTGATTTTGTGACAATACTGAAATCATTATCCAGAAAAATTTCAGAAATTACAAAGAACGTCTCATTTTATGAGAATCACTTCATATCATCAATTTGAATGCAAAACTGTCTGAAAAGGAATGATGGACTAAACCAGAATTTACCCTGGTTAAAACACCCAACGCAGCTCCGATGAGATGATGTAAACAACACAAATGTGATAAGCAATTTCGTTATGTAAACACATGCTGTTTTTGCGTAATTTTATATACACTTCTCAAACCCAAAAATCTATACTTGATTTTGTTATCTTTAGCAACTGGTCAACTTGACATCGCAGAAAACTATCCCCTACTGAGGAACGATAATTAAGTTGTTATAGATGAGCTGAATTGGTTTTTGTAAATTCTGTTCTAATAATACTACTGCTTTGATAAAGCTATAGGCAGCATTAAGTAGCGGGGCGTCAGCAATATCAACAATATCATTTTGTTTTTCATTCATTGGGAAATACAAAAAGTACCTTTATTATTAATGTATATCACATACCCAAGGCGCAAATTGTTTCAAACTGTTGAAAGTGAATTTAGTTTACATATATATATATATAATTAAATAATTAGATTCTTAAAATAATGGTGTGACGTAGATTTCAAATTTGACAAAAATATAATTGAACATTGAAATCATTGTACAAATTCAGGCTAAATCATAGTACAGTTACATTTTACATTTATGTTTTAATAATAACTTATGCAACGAAAGTATAAATTGACAGTTAGACATTTTATGGTTGTTCTGATTCTTCCGCATTCTGTTGATGTTCATCTGCCTTTCCGTGTACGGATGTTGATGATGATGATGATGAGGAGGAGGAGGATGGCATTGCTGCTGAGGAACAGTTAGTCTTGTTTTGTCCATTCGGTAGAAAACGAAGTAATCCATAACAGAATAAAGTGAACAAGCCAATTAAACACCATGAGATTGAATACACAAGGTATCGGTAACCAGTTGAAATTTTGTCTAATTGTGGATAAGGGCTGAAACTGTAGACTGTGATGGAAACCTCCATGCTACAGAGAAAAAAAATCAATATATATATATTATAGAACAGTGGAATAAAGATGTAAACAGACAGCCAACTGGTTTCAAAATGTCATCATGAAGTGACATTGGTTAGAGAGACATTGGAAAACGTGAAAGTACTGGACATCTGTTTCGTCCCTGTCTAGGACTCTTCAGCGATACGTGATCACCCACAATAAGGCTAGAAATCGGACTTTCCAAGTTACAAGTCAACCTCTTTCACAACAGATCAACTGACACTCCACCCAATTGCCACCCCATGATATCCAACTTCTGTCAGTTTACGAAATTCCCCTACAGCTTTGTGACAAAGACTTGAATACTTGTATAATAGACAGCCGGAGGCAGCTTCATAAGGTGGCAGGCTTCCAGTGTGGGCCTGGTGTTTATTCTGCAAGGTGTATATACAACTTTGAGGGTGGCGACAGCCAGCCCTACCTTCTTGGCCTCATTGAGATGTAGACTGGTGTCACTCACATTTATACACTCAAACTCTATTAATCATTTAGGCAGTGGAACCTGAGAATTTCCTTCCATGGGTTAACCAGGCAATGTGTGCGTTGTTTGTAGTCGCTATGTAACGATTTATTCGTGAGAAGGAAGTTTTAAATGTCACCTGCTCTGCAGTAAATGATGCCACCGCTTTTTTCCCATACTGATTTTACCTATAGAGTTACTATGCAATGAAAGATTAGATAACATGATAGTAACAAAAGATGGTGCACATTGATGAGAAAAACCTTGATGCGAAATGGTTGAACTTTAATTAGTCAGGTGGAGACAGTCTGGCGTCTAATTGTAACGGAATCCACTCATTGATAACTATGGTTAGATGACTAGCTAGACAGTATAAACTCCAAGGGGCTCTGATAGCCAATCAATCAATAGCTCTGCGATCCAGCATATGTGAAGATAAAAATAATGGTGGCTGAACAGGACATACACTATAGAGATATTTGCTTAACGTCACTCACTAAACACTTTTGTGAAACTTCAACAGAAAACTGCAAGTTGAGTGTTTAAAGGTGATATAGAGGAGATAATGTGAAGGGTGTAATCTAGGATGGTGGATATCCATGGAAACTGTTGAATGAGATAGCCTAGGAAGTATATGCAGTGTCGATGTATTGCTGAAGTCGTATACTGCATTCAGATGGCAGGGGATATTGATAATAAGGTTGAATATGTAGATTCCAAGAAGAAGGATCTAACTAAATTTAGCGATGAAATCACTATTACCACTATTCATGAGTTCCAGTCCGTTCAACCACTTTGATGGAATCTATAACCCAAATTTATTATATTTCTGTACCTCATTCTTTCATATTCCTAGTGGAACATTGGGCTTCACGTTACATATTTGACGTTTCATTAGGGGTGATTTTGTTTCTACGTAGTGCGGTTGTTAGCCCGTCAACCGAGGATCAAATCCCGAATCTCGTTGTGCATGGATGGTGAGTATTCTACTTTTGAACCATCGAAGCTTTCCAAATGAGTAACACTGCCTGAATGGTTTACAGCTCATGAAATCAAACAGCTGGTTCACTGTGTGAACTATGTCACTACACCTCATCCTCGTACAATAACAGGCTTTTGTGCATTTCGCTACATGCTGGGACCTTTAATTCCTGCTAGTTGGCAGTCAACAGTTAGCAAGGCGTTCAGGAAAATAGTCAAAGAAGAGGATCTTTTAAACAAACTCCTCATTAGCAAGATACACAACTGCACATATATAATTGTTATTATTATATTAATATTTTATATTATTCCTTTGTGTTCCTGAGTGGAAGACAGGGCTTCAACAACACATCGGCATATTGTTCTTTTTTGCTACTATCCTCTTCACCTGGGACTACGATTGCCAACAATCTCCTTACTCCTCCTCCGCAACACACCATCTCATTCATGTCACGCTCATACCGAAGGACCACTCGTTGCTTCCAATCCGGATTCCAGTCGAGCGATGGTTTGCACTGCAAACGATGTTTTTCGACAACCTCGTCAACTTATGCCTAATGATGACCAATCCATCTCCAAGATTTTCCTATATGTTTGCCCAACAATCACCTCTACCGTGTCGGTTTGTTCCACTGCAGGATTACTTGTTATTGATTAGTTCTGACCGGCAAGTGGAACAGCCTGCCAGAGAATTGGGCAGTAGTTGATAAAAGTTTGTAGCTTGTTGGAAATTCTTTTCGTGACACACACACACGTCAAGTTTTTTTTGACCCGTATAGAAGAAGTTACTGACTAACTTCACATTTGTGTTGAAAATCCAAATTTTGTTGTATATGCTAAGGCAGAATGCAGGAGATTTCCAAACAGGTTTCCATTTGATGTAAGCGTATCTCCTCTTTCCTATTCTGGCTGGTATTAGCATCTTCATCCGTTCCGATTGTCTGTGATTGAATCCTCGTCTAGATTGCCAGCTTGCTAGATTTGTAGCCAGTGGTCAGTCCAGCTAAATATAGAGGGTTGAGCGTAAAGCAAGTGATCCTATCTCAGAAAACCAATCAAAATGCCATGGAAATTTCAGCGCCTAATTCAAATATTATATATATTCATGGTTCTTAAGAAACATACATTCCTGTGCAATATTGTATTCTGAATGGCAGTCATCACAGTAATACTCATCGTTCCAACTACAGACGACAGGAAAAAATGAAGATGTCGACGGCAGCAAATACAGAAAACCTAAATATGACAGACATTGAGAATTCTGAAATGACAATTGGAAAACTGACTGCACTCAGGGTAGAGAATAAGATTCTGGCTTTTAAACCAATGTCTACGTATATTTCACAGGTCAATCCAGAGTTTTGTTGACATCTCCCTTCCTTCATCAAGATGATTAAACAGTTAGAAAATTATGTGAATACAAGGAAGCCTAGTAACGAATGAACAGGAAGAATCGATTACTCAACCAACAATTATGTCAGGAGAAGTGATCGAGATTTGATTGGACACATTCTGACGAAATCCAAAAGGTGATATCACACGATATAGCAGCGAATATAGTCGAGTTATGTGTGGTTCTGCAGCGACACGGAGGATGTCTTGTGTTAGGAGGAAATGAAAGCTCATGAATAATAGTGGAGACAGCTGGACGGGATTTCAGAGAACAGGATGAAATAGAGTTGTGCTGTGAAAGTTCCTGTGTTTCACCAGGAACCCAACGGGATTATAATTAAATGCAGATAAATAATTAATGATCATCATAATATACGGTCTCCTAAATTAAACATAGAACAACTCTTGGTAAATGTCTAAATGAAGCGTAATAGTAGAGGTGAGTGAATATCTGCAGTTTCAAGAAACACAGCTCACAAGATATTGTAGCCCAGTAATGGGATGAAGGCGACTATGAGGGAGATTAATAATTTTGCAGCCTGTGGTCTCCATACGAATAAATCGGCCAGGATGAGTAATGCTCCAAATGATGACTTGAAAGAGAAAAAAGAAAAGGACATAAAATATATATTCACTCCTAAACACAAAATAGATTGATTGCTTCAATAATAATACTCAGACATTTTATAACTGATTTCATCTTAGGATAGCTGAGTACTTACCGACGTAGTAACTCATCCTCGCAACCAACATCATCATCACCAGCAGTGGCTGAATATGTCTACATACTGTGATAAAATTCTATTTGCCACTTCGATATGAACATCGTTCACTTACTAGTGAATTTTGTTGGTAGCATTGTGGAGGGAGTTGTGGAGGAGATTTATCAGTAGTATGTATATGGACGCAAACTGATAGGAAATAGTGAAAATCAGACATAACATATTAAGTCAACAGCTGCAGAATTATGAATGTAGTTTCTTCAAATCTCGATAGTGTATTTCCCCATCATACAGATATTCGTTACCAAGACACTTGTCTTCTCCGCTTACAGCATTAACACTAACCCGCCAAATTTACACGCACTTAGCTAGTGGAAAGTGATTAATCTGCACAAATCAGTTATTTACAGGTGGAGAACCAATACAGGCATCATTGCTACACTCTTTCAGTGACAAAGAAAAGTTTCGCTATACTCTCCTCAGAATAAGAATCACTCAGTAGGGACGGTGAGGCTATATTTGAACTATTCAACTTGATTTGTGAGTCCTTATGACAGCTGATCAGGAATACCCTATGTGCTTCTGGAGGTATATAGGGGTGGGGGCAAAGTAGTTCCATCTTCCTTTCTAGCCACTCAGTAGATGCTGACTTCTTCTTGTGTAACTTTACAGCTCAAAGGGTAAATATTTTGGGACCATTCATACACGGCCTTTGAAAATCGGTGGTTCTGCACTTGTGACCGTATTAAAATGTTACTAGTGGCTATGGAATACTGCAAGGCAAGTGTGGATATAAAATTCCCGAGTTGGACCTATTCCAATATTCCAGCCAGACGACACGAGAGCTGAGAGATAGCACAGCTGGATAACTGGGTATCTGGGTGAAATTACATCTCCACTAATCCTGGTTTAACGAAAAATCAAAAGTCTTCATGTGGGTGACAATGAAATGACAGTGTCACTTGATGATGTCACAGCATTCTAAACGTCAACTGATTCAAAACTCTCAAAAGAAATTAGGCAATGACTACACTGTCGTTATCAACACAGAAATTGTAATGTTCGACTTGGATGGAACTCATAGAGTTGCGTCTTACGAAATACTTCCAGTTCAATAATCAGATAAATGCAGAGATGGAAGCAACACCGATATGATCGCCGATATTAGGATTATTAACTGAAGTTGTTAAACAAAGATTAGAATTAATGGCCATATTCATATGTAAACAAAAATTCTGAGAACGCCATGACGATGGTATATTCGTAATACTTAGAAGAAATGACTAAAAATACACCCAATAATCAATCAACGCCATATAAAAGCCAGTCACTAAATTCAGCAGAGAGCAGGAATGACTTAACCAACAGAAGTAACATAGGACATTTTGAAAGATGAGTATACAGAAAATGAAGACATAGATGAGATCCTGAAATGTGATGATAATAACACAGTAACTCAAAAAAGAAACTGTGCGGAAATATCGTTTAAACCAGTTGAAACACTGTGAAACTCCAGTACTGAAGAGAACAGAACAGGAATGCCAACAAACTGTCCTCAGAAAGAATGGATACTCATGCAATTTCATCAGAAAATGCTCCGGTTGAAGTCGAAACACCAACAAGAAAGCATCCTGAAAGACCACAGGAAAATTCATTCCACCAAACACATAAAGACTATCTCTGAAATAACAGCTACAATACCAAGATCTTTTGTATTGGACATAATTCACAAGCCAACACAATCACTTTGTTCAATATTCTTAAGATCGAAGTATCCAACAGCATAAGTATGGAAGATCGCAATATCCATCGAAACGAAAAATAAACAGAATAAAGTGCAGTAAACACCACTTGGGGGTAATGCTGGTTTCACGTTCGAATCAGAATTCAAGAGCGTAAATAACCATGAGAAAATAGACGATTTGCAATTCTTCATATCGATGCCTGCAGACAATTACCTACACTAATTTGTTTGGTAGACTGTAGAAAATTTGAACAGAGGGAACACTGAAGCCTGACACTTAGATGAATCAGCGATTAACCAACACACACACACCACTATGAATCTCATTTACCAACTAATAATAAACAATAAGCCACATGACAAGAAAGTTCAAATTCCACGTCAATAGAAAACTGATCAATAGATATGTAAATGAACAACCAATCACATAAGAGAAGGTCGTCAAGGTGACTGATACACATTTATCATTCATAGAGAATTCAAACAAGTTCAATTGATATTACATCTTGCGCTGAACATTGATAAGATTAACAATCATCTCAAAGAGAATAATGTGTGGCAGATTTCATAAAGATAAAGTCACTATTAATCATTCCAGACGCTATCAGCTGTGAGGATATATCTGGTAGAGATTGTATCAGGCATCAGAATGAAATCGAGAAGTCGACATATCTTTTTCACTGAGATATTATCACTACAGACACGTTTCTATTCATTACTGTAGGAAAATGGTGAAAATGCGATAGAAGCAAACTGATTTGACTAGCTGCGATTACTTTTCTGAAGACTATTCTTTGAATGATAGTGAGCATTCATGAAGTCAGCTGAGGAATCACTAGAATGAACTCAATGAAATAGATTGGGTCTGCTAAAACCCTCCTTCAGTTCCACTCAGACCGACAAGCGAATAATAATCATGATAGTAACAAGCAAGCCATGGAAACAAATTATTAGATAAGTTATATATGTATATATATATATATCAACAAACAAGAGACTTACACAGATTTGCATATACCACAATGGCAGATTCTTCAACTCTTCAATTCCCGTAATCACATCTCTGTAAGTGAAAAATGTTATCCAGTAGACTGCAGCACTTGTCTATTTCAAGATGAAATCAGAATTAAGACAAATAACAACGATATGATAACTACTCACCCAGGTGGATGCAAAGATACTTGTATAAAGATATTTATGAATAGTGAACAGTTTGAGTGCTTGTAGTGGTGCGGCGACTAAGAAGTACACGGATAATACGACCTACAAATAAGAAAAAGAGGAGAGGAGGCACACAGAGACAGTGTGTAAGGTACTACGCTTGCTTACCAATGTGGCGAAATTGAGATATCTGAATAACTTTAACACTTTGTTCACATCAATTGACTCTTCTGGATGCAGGTATTTGTAACCGACGAAGAAAGCGGCAATAATCACTCCCAAAGCGCATAGACGATAAATTACAGCGATAGCACTGCTTAAGAGTCGTTTGGAGACCATTCTGTTGATTCACTGGAGCTTGTGTTCACACTGGTCTTAAATGTATAAGACTCGGTAGTCTTACTTGCACGTATATATATATATATATATATATATATAGGTCTTATGTAGCGATTAGCTCACCCAACAAAACTGGCCATTATCATCTAACGAATAGAAAAGATTATTAAAGAATTATTTTGAATACACAGGGTGAATGTAAAACGTAAGCAGTATTGTCTGATAAATGCACAGTAGCACAACGGTTGTGGAATTTCTACTAATTAATTCTGCTTACAGCTAGCGACCTACACGAATACGTGACCATCTTTATTTTCATTCACTAAGAATAACAGTGGTGAGACCCAAAAGAGTTACATAATTATCATAATAATGATAATTTGCTTTATTCCAGAAACAGTACTGCTGGTACAGAATGGAATTTTCAGCACTTATCTACAATACTTCATCTAATTTTATCGAACATTTAAAAAGAGTATTTCAAAAAATAAATATAAAAAAATATAAATACAAAAAAAATACGATATAGCAAAAAAATGCGAAAAAATACCGAAAAGTAGAATGGAAAATAAACAACATAATAAATAATATCTCAGTATTCGGCAGTGGAAGCTATGATATGTGTATGCGCGGTGAACAGTGACAGCTATAATCATACAAGAAATTATGAAATGTTATTAAGAATGTTTATCGCAAAGTACCCGAGGATTGGAAGGAAGGATACTTATTCAAACTTCCAAAGAAAGGAGACTTAATTCAATGCAAAACCTGGCGCGGAAATATGCTCCTGTCCATCCCAAGCAAAACACTAAGTCACATCATTCTGGAGAGAATCAAACAGGCCCTGGGTGCGAAACTTCGACTAGAACAAGCTGGATTCAGGAGCAACAAGTCATGTATTCAACAAATCGCCACTCTACGGATCATCATTGAACAAAGCTTGGAATGGCAATCACCTCTCTATCTCAACATCATCGACTTTGAAAAGGCGTTCGACAGCGTCGATCGAGGGGTGATTTGGCAACTACTTCGCTACCACGCGGTGCCATCGACAATTATACATCTCATTCAACAGTTATTCGACAATGCTGTATGCCTTATAATCCACAACGGGAAACTTACGGAAGCCTTCGAAGTGAGGACGGGAGTGCGACAAGGCTGTCTACTATCATCAATGATTGTAAGATCAATTCTATTCCCATCCTTGAATCAAGTCAACCTGTCCCAGATCAGCCTAGCGTTGTTGCAACCCAATTATCCATGCCTAACGTGTCTATCCCTGCTTGTTTAATGAACTGTGTGTATGTGTTTTTACCTCGATCCGTTTAGTCAGACAGTTGAACTCATGGCCCAATCAGAGTATTTTGTGAACTGTTATTTTTGCTGACCCATGTCTAACTTTGTACTATTCTGTCGAGTTTATCTTATTTATTGATTTTCATCTGTATTTTCCTACCTGGTTAAGTAGCCAATTAAATTCTATCTTTGTGCCTATGCTCGGTCTATCTCTCTTAAACGCTCTCTGTTTTATGCCATGCCTTACTTGGGTTCATTCTTCTACTGACTGCTTACCTGAACGGTCGTGTCTGGTTCCGGCTAGTTCGCAATTTTGGCTTTAACGTTATTCCGCTCTGATAGCGGTACCTTGCTTTCTGTTAAGCGTTGTGCTTTGTACTCTTGAAACCGTTAAGGTTTGTTGTATATATAATTATTGATTTGTTTATTAATAGTACCGTAGAAACAGTGACCGGCTTCTTGTTTGTTCTGGACCGGGATAGCCTTTATCTACGCGTGACTTAATTTCAAGCGATATTGCGCTTACAGTACTTAACGGAGTACTTAACGTTACAGAGGAGACCGTACTGAACTGATCAGTACTTAACGAAAGAGGAATTGTCATTGAAGAAAATCCCGTACTGAACTGGTCAGTACTTAACGGAGTACTTAACGTAGTACATAACGCCAAAGGGATCGAGACCGTACTGAACTGGTCAGTACTTAACGCTAAACGGATCGAGACTTTACTGAACTGGTCAGTACTTAACGCTAAAGGGATCGAGACCGTACTGAATTGGTCAGTACTCAACGTCAAACAGGATCGAGACCGTACTGAATTGGTCAGTACTCAACGGCAAACAGGAAAGACCGTACTGAACTGGTCAGTACTGAACGTTCGTCCAGAAGAAACTGTGGTGAATTGGCCGCACGCAACGTTGTTGAAAATACACTTTTCTTTGGAACAATGCAAACGAGATCAGAGAAGCAAATTTCGGAGCAGCAGTCGGAGAGTCGGCAAGCCCCCATTTTTATAAATGATCATGTTGATAATCTTTCGTGCCCCGGCTCTCAGGTCAGTAGTTCGAAATCATCATTATCGCGAATAACTAGTGCTCAGTCGTCACTTCTAAGGGCGCAGCTAAAAGAGAAACAGCTTCGACAGGAATTAGAGTTAGAGAAAAAGTTGCTAAAGGCTAGACATGATGTCGAAATGGCCGAGCTGCATGTGAAGTTAGCCACGGACGACGAACGGAACATTGAGGAATATGAAAGAGGCAGTGTCATTGATAACCGGGAGCAGCTAGAACGATATGTGAAAGATTGTGCCGCAATGGCTGGCGGGGACGCTCCTGTTACGGTCAGGAAGAGCGCGGTCGTAGAGAAACTTGACATGCCTAAGGTTGAAAGCGGGGACGCTCCTGTTACGGTCAGGAAGAGCGCGGTCGTAGAGAAACTTGACATGCCTAAGGTTGAAATGTCCTATTTTGATGGCAACGGTACTGACTACTTGAGATTTACCAAGGAATTCGAGTATTATGTCGAGAATAGAGTAAAGGACCCTGGTCAAAGAATGTTATATCTGTTGCACTATTGTAAAGGTCGAGCTAAAGCAGCCATACAGGAATGTGTGATCTTGCGTCCTGAGAGTGCGTACGCGCGAGCTAAGGGTATCTTACAGGATCTGTTTGGGGAGATCCACGTCATCGCACGAAACCGTATTGAAGACATGATTAGAAGCCTACGACCTGTGGCAGAAGATGGAGAATCTCTATCCCGTCTATCAATACAGCTTCAGAATTGCCTGATTGCCCTAACTGAAATGAACTATTTGTCGGACTTAAATTCCGTAACAACTCTCGAGAGAATAGTACGCATATTGCCGATAGCAGTTCGAAGGAATTGGGCCAGACTAGCAGACGCAAGAAATCAAGAAGGGCAAGAGCCATCTTTTCAGGATCTTTGCCAGTTTGTTTCTACAGAGGCAAGAGTGGCACGAAGCCGATACGGACGCCTCGTTTCAGAGGGCTTTAACCGCCCGAACGCCCAAGTTTCACCAAATAGACAGGGTCGTCATGGGGGCACATCATTCGCAATACAGGGAGAAAGGACCCCTGCACCCAAGCGACTGTGCATTCTCTGTAGGTCTGACCATGCTACTGCTTCATGTCAGAAGTTTGTTGGATTAGATGTGCGAGACAGATGGAGCTGCGTCCGCCGCCATAGAGCATGCTTTTTGTGCTTAGAGGTCGGACATCGTATCGATCATTGCGTATCGGGTATAAAGTGTTCCAAAGTTCATTGCAGTGGTAAACATCACCCACTGCTACATGTTGAACCGGTCGTAAATCAAGTGGCAGAACAGGGGACATGTGCTGCTACTATGCATTATGGAACGGCAGTTATGCTAGGTGTGATTCCCGTCAAGGTGCGGGCCCGCGGTAAGGAAACAGATACTTATGCCTTTCTGGATAGCGGCTCCGACGTTACCTTAGTTACGAAGGATCTATTGAGCAGCTTAGGCCTAGAGGGCACACCATCGTCTATTACCTTGACAACAATCAATGGGGTGAGTCAGGTTCAGGGCAACATGTGCGAACTGGAAGTCGCATCAATGGATGAAAATGAAGTGATAAGACTTGACAGAGTGTTCGCGTTGCCATCCCTGCCGGTCAATGCACCCTCACTATCGGTATCACAAGAGGCCCGTCGCTGGCCACATCTCCAGGAGTTGCCATTCCGCGAACTTGATGATAAAAGGGTCACGATGCTCATAGGTTGCGATGTTCCCGAGGCGCATTGGGTCCTCGATCAGCGTTTGGGTAGTCGCAAACAACCTTACGCAATCAAGACATTGCTCGGTTGGGTCTTGCTAGGGCCACTTCATGGAAATACGGAAAGAGGCACTGTCAACTACGCTCGAATCAGCGAAGACAGTATTAAAGACGACATCAGAAGTCTACGTGAAGCTGAGCTTAAGGATACTGAAGAAATCGAACGCTCATTTTCTATCGAAGATCGTAAGGCAAGCGAGTTGGTTACTCAAAGCACCGTCTTAGAAAAGGAGCATTACATCATTCCCTTGCCATGGAAAGATCCAACAAAAGTAACGGACAATAATTATGTAGTCGCCATAAATCCGTTACTCAATCTGAAACAAAGGTTATCGTGTGACAAGAACCTTTTAGCACGATATGTGGATGGGGTAAATACGATGTTAAAAAATGGTTATGCCCTTCCGGTACCCCCAGAGCAGCTAGCAGCGAACTATCGTTCGAGTTGGTATCTTCCACATCATCCCGTTATGAAGCCGAAAAAGCCAGATAAACTGAGATTAGTTATAGATTGCGCCAGAAACTTTAGAGGTTATTCTTTGAACAATAAGCTATATCAAGGACCTGATACGATTGCCGAGCTTGTTGGTGCTCTGTTGCGCTTTCGAGGAAAGCCTATTGGTGTAGTCGCGGACATAGCTGATATGCTTATGCAAGTGAAGGTGCCAGTAGACGATCGAGGAGCATTACGATTTCTGTGGTGGCAAGATGGTTGGCTAGGCGTTGGCCGCGAGGAGTTATTGCGGGATGCGAGCAATCCGCGGACGGACTTGTCAGAACAGTTACAATAAGAACGAGAAACGGCGAGGTGAAGCGCGATATAAGTAAGATATGCCTACTAGAGGGAAGTCATTTGTAAGAGAGCCGGGCACGAGGGTTATTCTGTATAACATGATTCATAAAATCCTAGTCGGATTTTGGGGGCCGGTGTAAGATCAATTCTATTCCCATCCTTGAATCAAGTCAACCTGTCCCGGATCAGCCTAGCGTTGTTGCAACCCAATTATCCATGCCTAACGTGTCTATCCCTGCTTGTTTAATGAACTGTGTGTATGTGTTTTTACCTCGATCCGTTTAGTCAGACAGTTGAACTCATGGCCCAATCAGAGTATTTTGTGAACTGTTATTTTTGCTGACCCATGTCTAACTTTGTACTATTCTGTCGAGTTTATCTTATTTATTGATTTTCATCTGTATTTTCCTACCTGGTTAAGTAGCCAATTAAATTCTATCTTTGTGCCTATGCTCGGTCTATCTCTCTTAAACGCTCTCTGTTTTATGCCATGCCTTACTTGGGTTCATTCTTCTACTGACTGCTTACCTGAACGGTCGTGTCTGGTTCCGGCTAGTTCGCAATTTTGGCTTTAACGTTATTCCGCTCTGATAGCGGTACCTTGCTTTCTGTTAAGCGTTGTGCTTTGTACTCTTGAAACCGTTAAGGTTTGTTGTATATATAATTATTGATTTGTTTATTAATAGTACCGTAGAAACAGTGACCGGCTTCTTGTTTGTTCTGGACCGGGATAGCCTTTATCTACGCGTGACTTAATTTCAAGCGATATTGCGCTTACAATGATCTTCCTGATTGCAGTTGATTGGATAGTGCGACAGACAGCAGGCAGCAAAGAAACAGTCATAAAATTCACCGAGACAAAAAACTTGGAGGATCTGGACTTCGCCGATGTGATGTATGTCTGATTTCTCACAAACCGGAAGATATGCAAGTGAAAAGCAACAAGTTGGCAGAAGAAGCATCAAAGATAGGACTTCAGGTGAATATTGAGAAAATAGAGATTCCTGGCCAACAGCAACAACAACAACAGACAGCAATCAGCATAAATGGGAGAAACCTGAAAGAAACAACCTACATCACCCACTGACCTTGGAAGCATCGTTTCAACTACAGGCGGAACTGACTAGGACATCAAAACCAGAATCGGTAAAGCAAGACAAGCTTTCATTACTCGTAAGTCTGTGTAAAGGTCAACAGCAGTCAGAATCAAATATAAGATCCAGATTTTCAACTCCGATATGAAGTCAGTGCTACTTATTCTATGTATCAAAGACTTAGCGCGTCATAATGAGCATCTCAAACAAACTTCAGACCTTCCTTAACAGTTGTATTCGCCTAATACTACTCAAGATCACATGGCCAGAAAAGATCAGCAACAGGAATCTCTGAGAGCAAACCAACCAGGAACCAATTGTGAAACAAATAGGCAGGAAGAAATGGAGATGGATTGGCCATACTCTGAGGAAACGATCAAGTGACATCACTAGACAAGCCATTGCTCGAGTGTTACCCGAAATGGAAGCGACGAGTTGGTCGTCAGTTTAAGGATGACTTGAAGGAGGTCATGTGAAGAGAAAATGGAAGCATGTGGGCAGACTTGGAACGGAGTGAAAAATGTGGCAAAAAACCGAAGGCAATAGAGACGCGCGGCTGAAGCCCTATGTTCCTCTAGGAATTAAAGGATATAATAATAATAATAATCGCCATGATTATTAGTTAATTTGATTGGACAACACTAAACAATCATAAAATAAACATTTCAGACTTTTTTTATTGTCAGATCTAATGCAGTGTTTGTAGTGGTAATGTGAGTATTCCTGCATAATACAAAATTTTAAGATGGGGATAACGGCATTCACAACCAAGATTGTCAGTTAATACTGCCGAACAAAAAACAACCACAAAACTAATATTACATAATGGTTAATGACAGGACAATTTTGTAATACTCATAGTGATAATATAGTCGGAACCAGTAGATACATAAAAGAACGAATAGAGTAAGGTCCAGAAAAAGGTAAGCCAATGTTAATAATTTAGGTATCTTAGCATGTTTAAGAAGGTTGTTCACTATAGAGTACAAATAAGAGAGTATAAGTATTAACAAAAAAGTAAGTCATAGGTTTCGAGCTTAACATTGTCTCTGTCACTTAGAACACGGGACAAATATGGTATCGTTGAGTTCCTATACTTGGCTGTACGATCATATATTATTTTGTACTGATTTCTGGTTCTACCTGATGAGATACACGGAGAGAGGTGGGAATAAAGGGGGTGTTGGGGGTCGGAGAGTATGATTTTAGACCATTTTTCGCATGTATTCAGATGTCTTTCTACTAATGTAGTGACGAGCTGACTGAATTTCACACCACTAGTCCTACTAACTGCATTCAACATCCTTTTCAGGATGGTATAGTCCTTTTTTCAGTAACTCAGGAAAGACTAATGGGGAGCAGTAAAGTAGAATAGGTAAGATACGAAAGTTGACAAATTGTGAAAGTAGAGGTTGGGTGATTCCAGACAGTCTAAGTTTCTTAATGTAGTAGGTTAGACGGAACACTTTATTAGAAATCGTTAGGATATGAGATGACCAAGTAAGGTTGGAAGATAGAACTAGTCCAATGTATTTTGCATTAGACTTTGTTTCAATTTTAGTCCCCTCAATGCTAAAGGCTTCATGACTACTTACATATTCATCTACCTATCCCTTATCGATCTATCTATCTTATACATTTGTCAGCCTTAATGGATTTGAATAAAGTGAGAACAACAGTGGTTTGTGCACAATAATATGGCACCATCACTGTCACTTCACTGGTTTCTCATCAGCTGCTTACAGCCTAAACAAATTATCATTAAGTTTATGTACAGAAAAGATTTAAAATACAAATTCTACAGGATGTCAGTTAACAGAATGAATTAGTGAACAGTGCTTAGAAAATTACGCTTACATAGCTTTTACACCGGCATTTCATCTTTAAACAAAGTAAATCTACCCAAACGATTGTAAAGGAGTTATTTGATTAAGACGACAAATGCATAAGATGACGGGTGACTTATAAGTTAGGTAACAACATACTGAGTTCTACTCAAATCACGGAAACAAGAGACAAGCAATATTGCACTATATCTGTGAGATGAGGTTAGAAACAAAGATTACGTAATCGAATGAAAGAGTAATTAAAGACACTGATACCTGCTTCTATATGAACATATAAATCGGGTTTCAATTGATTCGTCGAACTTGAGGCGAAGTGAGCTCCTTTGTCTATCGATAGTTTTAAAGGATTTCGCGACTTCTAACTCCTGACTCGTATCGAGGAGATGCCTGGTAAAAGCTTCAATATAAACTTTTTTCGATGAGACGTAGGATTTTCGGCACACGTCCAGAAAATTGGAGGTATGCCCTTTTTCATTCTGTCCTTCCAGTGTTATTTCTCCCACAGATACCTGTAAATATGCATCTACATTTGGATTTAACGTGAGCAGGGTGTCTGTCGACTTTGAATGAACCAAAGAGGATGGTGTCTTATAAACAAGAAACAACTTAGGCACTGACTCGTGACATACTCTGTCTTCTGTTGACCATTGCTTCAATATTTTCACCTTTAAAACAGAGTTGACTGAGAACAGGCTTTTTTCACTGTTATTTGTTTGATGTCTAAGTCTTCACATCTTTCATATTCGTCAATGAATATTTGAAGGTAAGTGCTGTTTTTCAGCATCTATCTATCGCGTATCTATCTATACATGTTTATATGCATGTTTTTATCTACCTGTCTATGTATATCAGTGATAATTTAATAATTCCCATTGTAGCATTAAGAAGACAATTTTCAGTGAAGAGACTCTTTTCAACACCGAACTTTTTTATCAACCTGTACAATCATATATATATATATATATAGTTTTCTATAAGAGATTATATCCGGTGAAGGAATTAGGTCCAAGGTGTGAATGCATGAAGTAATAATAATACTAGTATGAAATGCGATTAAAATATTTGTGATTATAACCATAGTTAAATGTCAGGTAGCAAAACAATTAGTGTCTCATATAGAATAACACATAAAGTGTATAGATGTTGGAAACGGGTACATAATTATAGGATTAGTAGGCGAATATAAAATGTTATAAAACATGGTGTGAAATTCGATAAGATAGAATTCAATATTGTAAATATAAAAATTAGTTATTTTGGGATTAGAGTGACAAGTGGGTCAAGTGGAAAAGATTCAGAGTGAGAATAGTAATAATAATAATCGTAGTAATTAGGGAAAGATACATAGATTAACTAAATAAACAAAATAAATAAATTTCTATCCCTCTACGGCCAAGGCAGAAGTAGTAGGCATTGCACACACTTTTTTTGTACACAAAGGTCTCGCTTAAATTAATGAATAGCCAAAGCTCCCTCTTTCCTTAGCAGTTTAGAACAAAGGAAACGCGGCAAGTTGGCACGGATTCGGTAGATAATCTTAAAATCATAGTTATGGTTGGTAGAATGACAGGAGTCAATCAGGTGGTCTTGGATACAGCTTGTCACACCCTTCCTTTATCCCTTGTAAAACCATGCTGGGATATTTTCTTGTATACGTGCAAGGAGCTTATGTACCTTGCCTAACAAGAGCAGGTGAACTGGAGGTGGCCAGACAGGGGGAGCTTATTTTTTACACAGATGGAAAATAACTTGTGGTTGATGAACGTCATTTGTAATTTTGCTGCAAAGAACTTCTAAATGATTGATTTGGTGGAGAGATGGTTTTTCAGCATATCTGAAGCTTGATCACCTTTGAATTCCAAGTTCATGAATAAGGTTTTCTTTGGAACTAAGTCGGTGACCAGTTTAGACTGCTTATCTTTCATGTGACTGTCAATAAATCGGTTCGGGTAACCGTTTTCTGTGAGCGTACCACTGAGGAAGTCAAGTTTTGAGTCAACGCAATCAGAACTACAAATTTTTCTTATCCTAAAGCACAGCGAAGGAATTAGGTTCCTTTTCCTGGAGATAGGCACTCAACTATAAAAATTAGTTAGTTAACCGTTCTATGTAGGTTTCCGGTGGATGGATGTTTTGAGAAATCCGTCATTACGTCTACTAAGGCACACATCAAGAAACGGAATCTCTGCCAAACAAGATAATGTACCTACAATCCTTGATGTCAACTGATACGTATCATAACACCGCCATAATCACATTACAAGAAACGTGGTTGCATGAACTGTATGATGACAACCTTATCTCACTAAAGGACTTTATTTTATTTCGTCAAGACCGTCAATGTTGTAATAAGAAAAATGGTGGTGGCGTTGCAACTTTTATTCACTCCAAATGGTCTGTCTCAAATAACGTCTGCTTCACCTTCTCAAATGACTTCATTGACTGTATTACTGTCAAATGTCGCCCCAAACATCTCCCCAAATATAAACAAATCTATATTACAAACATGTACATTTCTCCTAGTTGCTCTCCATCTGATCTATCTAATTTTGCTGATGAATTCACCATGTTTGCTGCTGCCAACTTCGACAACTCTCTATCCGTTATTACTGGAGACTTCAACACCTCAGATTGCTCCTTTCTTGAAGCTCTTGGTCACACAAACATAGTCAAATTTCCCACTCGACTTGACAAAACACTCGATCTAGTTTTTACTAATGACGAAGGAGTATATGAAACACGTAGACGTTCACCGATACTTAACTCCGATCACTGCATTGTCCGCGTTTTGCCAAAAATATACAGCAAAACACATATTAAAATCTTCTCACACCTGTC